GGTAACAAGTGAAACGAAAAAAAAAAGGTATGAGAAAAACATTACTTAACAAACTTTAAGAATTAATAAAAAAAGAAGATATTTTGTGTATGAAAGTATTGTAATGTTAACTGATAATCTGCCAGATTTGGTTAACACACATTTACTAATTTAAAAGTTATAGCATAAAAACTATAACAAGCACAAATGGTTACGAGGTCAGTCTAACGGACCGAGCCCGTGCTGAAAGGGTTAATAGTAGTTAAATACATGTAGGTATAATACATAACATGGCAAATCTACCAGTGCAAATGTGTATTCAGTTAACACAATCAAGTCAGTATCCAGTTCCTAAAATCTCAACAATCATGTTCAAGTTAAGTAAGTTACCCCGAATTTTTTCGAAAACGTTATTTTGAGAAAAGGAACGAACTTACGGAAAAAAAAAAGGTTCTAATGTGTAAAATGTAACTTGACCTCTCTCGACCAGAAATAACTTACTCCAAACATAGTGTTATATCTAATTATATCTAAACTGAAGTTATTGCACATAACTTAATATTGTTCGTACATTATTAAGTGTAGATTGTTGTATTGTGAGATAATAATTGGATGTTTCGATTTATATCCAACCAAAGCCTAGTTAAGCATTTTAAAGATGGACTTTACAAATACTTGTGGGGAAGGTACCCAATTAGAGAATAGCACAATATTTTTTCTTGTTTATGACGCAAGTCGTATATGATGGCCATATTTCACTTTAATTGCAACTAATGACTTGTCTTTCAAAGTAAACCTTAGTAACCAACTTATACTTTGTAACGAATTTGTTATTATATATTTATTTTAATATCAACGTTTGATTAGATTAGGTTTATATTGTAAAACATGCGTAGCTTATACTGTTAAATATGTATTGTGAAACTCCCGCCTATTCTCCAAAGTTGTAGAAAATTCCCCAGAGTAAGAATCAACAATATATATATGTGTGTACATAAACGCTTAAAGTTGTATTGTTTCGTAAAACTGAAATTTCTAGAAAACCTCTACACGCCTATAAATATAACCAACGCGACGCGCTAAAGAGAGTATCTATTATTATTAGTTCGCTATAGTCGGTGTGCTGTAAACTTCCGAAGCTATAACTGTGATTTTTATAACGCTTATCAATCGGAAAACTTCGGATATTTGACCAGGAATGTTTATAAATTTCGAATATTACAAACCATTTAACTTCAGTGGATTCACATCAGATATTAATACTTTTACGAAAACATTACCTAACGTCATCGGTGGAAACTCGATCTCTAATAGGCGTATGAACAGTGAAGACTACAGGACTAGCTAGCTCCCTGTTAAGTGAATTGTGCCTACGTCAATTCGAAATTAACTCGCTCATCGTGAACCCTCGATAAGATATTAAGGAAGTTCCAGACTAGAAAGAAGACTTTATATTGTCTTTAAGTTTGTGAAACTTTTGTTTATAAATCATTGTTTGTAATAACTGTTATTGTAAGATGTATTGTTGTGTGTATATTAAAACGTATTTGTATAAAAGAAAACTGTGTGTATCAATCTTGTTGGCAAATATCATAAACTGACTATATATCGGCATATATTTAACTACTAAATCCAAATTACAATTTAACTACTAAATTTAAATTATCATTTAACTCAATTTCAGACCGTTTGAAATTCTAATATGTAACAACTTCAATATGTATATTGATATTTACTACTGTTGATAAGGGTAAACTTATATACTTTTCATTTGTATTTATTTGAATTAAAATTGTTTTAATATGCTCAGAAGTTATTCATAATCGTGTCGTCTACGAAAAGTTGTCTTTGTATGCTGTCATATTATGTTCAATAAAATTATCTACTGATCCCTTATTAATAACAAATGTTTTGTAAATACGTTTTCAACACTGCAAAAATAAACATCAATAATAATATTTTCAGGTGAAATATGTGCAAAACATCACTATAAACAATATACATAACGTTCTTATTTTGTAGAAGATTAAGTTCATAATCACAATATACAAAAGTACGTGTTCCATATCTTGAAACATACTTCCATTTTAACTTTAACAGTGAAATTTATGATGTATCGAGAAATTTCTATGATCTTACACTTATGTATTTTGTGATATGAAAAATGTATTGTAATAGCAATACTTACGGTGACGTTACAGTGAGTTGTATACTCAGCAGCTGTGGATCTGTGGTCTGCTTGTCTATTAACTGTTTACTGACAGCACTCAGTACTTCCTCCACTGCTTCGTCCAAGATCTACAGAGGACATTTAGACGTAGTAAACAAATTATGACTCTACTTTATAGATTCGAAAAAAATCAGAAATAAGCATTTTTATAGAAAAGCAAAAAGTAATTTCTATGTCATCAAAATTTTAAATTAAATCAAACTCTCATACAGAAAGAAAAATAAAAGTACCTGATGCTGACAGCTGAGTTTTCCAACTAATTCATTTATATGGCCTAAAAGAGAAATATTTTCTTCCAAGTTTTCAATTTCTTTCATTGCCTTCTTGACGTTAGTATCGGTACCTATGCAAAATTAACAATTGTCATTAGCTGGTGAAAACAGAATTTGGTATATTCTTTTATGATGTTTTAATTTCTAGAAGGTGTGACTCATGTAGGGGTGATCATCGGTAAGAGAAGAGATAACAGAAAAAAAAAAATATATTGTCACTTATTACATATGCGATTTAATAACAATTATCATGAGTAATACAGAAGCTAGTGAATAATGATTTGGTAACTTATGGAAATACAGGAAGATAGTCCTATTATTACAATTTTGTGATACTTGTTTATTCCAAACATGTTTTAGATATGCCTACAAATTACCATAAGCTATACTGTTGATCTATAGAAAACAATACAATAAGGAAAAACAACACTAAAAATATAGAAAACAATACAATAAAGAAAAACCACAATAAAAACATGTCATAATATATATATTATGAAATCTTTCATGTTTGTTGAACTAATTTAACTTTGAAAAATATCATGACGACTACGACATATGTCTGTGTGATTTCTACAAAGTTCAGTGTCTTATTCCTAATTTCAGCAAATGTTGTGGGTCAAAGACTGGCATACTTTTTTATTTGTATGATCACATTGGGTTCTTTTATTCATTTAGAAAAGCGAATAATATCCTGAGTGTACTGGAGTATTGTGTCTGCTCATGCCAATCCCATAATGCTGCCTTACTTACAATACAATGAGCATATGTACTGAAACTTGTTGGTTTTACAACATAATATAACATATTAATTTACGAAAAAACAACATCTCAAGAAATAACTAACTATACAGCTTCCAAACCTTCTGAAATTTAAGAATTTTCCATGACACGAAAAAAAGACGAACCACAAAATAAAAGAAAATATAATCAAATATGACAACAATGTTCACAACTCAAGTAGAATTGCAACTGTTATTGAAGTCTTATCAGTGATTTCAAGATTTTTCAAAAGCTAGACAAGGATTTTTTCTTCAATAGTGTGGTCTGATCAAAAACGTGAACAAATTTAAAATAGAAAACAAAGGAAACCTTGAAGCACTTTCAGGAAGAGGGCCTTTCTCCTCCGGATGAATTCCGAAAGCGCTTAGATTATTGACTTCCCTGTCTTGTGACTTATCGATTTTTGATCCTATAATTTCTTAGTATCTGAATAAAGCTAAGTATTGAATAACCATTGGTAGCCATAAATGTGCACAGTAAATCAGAAATAAAAGGAGATTCTGCTCCAATATAATGATATACATTAAACTATGTTAAACAGTCCTGAAAATGGCAATAAAAATAAAATTGAGTGAATAACTTACTTTTAGCAATGTCTAGATTGTCAAGTGGAAATCTCATTAACATTTTGTATTTGTTCATCTCGAGGGTTCCGAAAGTTGACGGTGAATTTCTATCCAGTAGAAGACAAAATAAAAAAATACTCAAAAACTATTTTTCTCAGACGTCTTATAAACGCTTCTAAATTATAATGGCAATTTTTAATGTTATTAGCAACAATGAAGAGATAGTCACAACTTCATTAGAAAATCATAGGACTAAATGACCAAGATAGTTTTTTTCATACACGTAGATAACCTAATGTTACTCTAACTTAGTGAGTATAGGTTTAAATGTAATACTATTCCTGTACTGTTTTTCAACCCATAGTCTCGGAGGTACACTAGTTAAGACCTATAAGTATTCTTGAAAATGAGCGATTTTTTCAGTAAGTTAGATTTTTAAACATGAACTGGCAAAAATAACACACTCCTTTTCATATACGTTACTTAATTCCATATATATATATATATATATATA